GGATTATGGGGTCGTGAAATGAGGATGACGATTTCTGTCTTCCCACACCTTAGCACCATGATGTCGAACCTGTGGCACGCGGAGCCATTTGTCAGGGGATGTGAAGCTGACTTCGGCCTTCTTTTGAGGCCATTTTTCGCCCTCCGGAGCGCGAAAAACCGGCCCTACAAGCAGGGGTGGGTTTCTCGCCCCGTTCCAACCAAACTGGTTGGAACGGGGCGAGAAACCCACCCCTGCTTGTAGGGCCGGTTTTTCGCGCTCCGGAGGGCGAAAAATGGCCTCAAAAGAAGGCCGAAGTCAGCTTCACATCCCCTGACAAATGGCTCCGCGTGCCACAGGTTCGACATCATGGTGCTAAGGTGTGGGAAGACAGAAATCGTCATCCTCATTTCACGACCCCATAATCCCTTGCAGGATGGAGTCTGGGCACCCAAAAGGAGCTGACAGAGAGCCCAGCATCCCATCTGAAGGCTTAATCCTGCCCTGCCCAGGTTACCTTGGCACACAGGGCAGCACTGATCACTTTGATGGACTGGCTGGGAGCAGTTGAGAGGCTGGCACAACACCGGATCACAGATCACCGTCCGCTTCTGAGGAACCAGAAGGAGAGAGAGAAAAAGGACGACAGAAGGAAGACCATCGATTAGAGAAGGGAAAAGGAAGGCGCAGAATTCTATTCTCACTTGGGCCGAGTTTGCTTGCAAAATGACCGCAGAACAGAGTTGGAAAGGACCTTGGAGGCCTAGTACTCCAACCTTCTGCTCAAGCAGAAACTCTACAGCAGAGGTGTCAAACTCAAGGCCCGCAGGCCGGATCCAGCCCATGGAGTGCTTAGATCTGGCCCACAGTGCCTCTTCTGGCGAAAACGGAGCTCAGGAGGGCTGCGTGCAGCACAGATGGGAACCCAAAAAATAAAACTTTCCTTCTAATTCCGGGGTGTCAAACTCAATTTCATTGAGCGCCTGGAAGGCAGGTGGGTGCGGCTGCCTGAGTGGGTGTGGCCAACTGGATGGGCATGGCCATCCGTTTTTTTAAAATAATTTTTATTAAACATTCCCCAGTTTAAAAAGAACGAGAGAAAGATACAGAGACAGAGACAAAGCAAATGAAAACACGAACGATATAACAATGTAACACACTTTTGCAGCTTCCCGAATCAGCATGTATATTCTGCTTTTGTAGTTTACTATTCAATGTTTGCCTTCTCAGGGTTTTTAACAATTCTAATAGTATTGAATATAATTATGTTGCACTATAATAGTTTGGTGCATATAATCAAATTTTACATATATGCATTTTCCTTCATAATAGAATCAATGATTTTCAAAACTTCTATTTCTTGTTTCGGCTTCTATTCTTTAGCCACTTGTACGGTCTATTCCAAATTTTATAGTAGTCCGATGGCCATCACGACCGCCACTCACTGAGCGTGGCTGATTGGGTGGGCGTGGCCAGCTTAACACCATTCCCCAAACTGCTGGCATGTTTCCTCTCTGCACTGGGTAGACTGGGCTGAAGCCAGGCTGGTCCAAGGTTTCCCCTTTGCATTGGGTCGGGCTGACCCCTTACTACACAGTGACTACACAGACCAGATCCGACCACATCATGGGCTGGATCCGAGCCTTCTGTTTGACACCCCTGTTCTAATGGGATGCTTCAATGCTTCCCGAAAGCCACCATCACTTTCTCCACTCTCTTCCCACCTACCTGACAGATGCATATAGAACATTTCTTGTCATAGTCGGGAGCCCAGCGGGAGCCATGAGGCCGATGTTGACCTTCAAAAAAGCAGGCGTTGGAGTCTTTCTTCGCCTCTTTGGGGTCCCTGGGTCTTGGTTCTCCAACGAGTTCCAACTCTTGGTTTTCAGAGGGCAGCCGAAAGCCCCCCGCCTTGCAGTGGTTGGGAATGTGAACCTGAAAGCACAATGGCAGTTGAACAAGTGAGCAGCTGCACGAGCGCTGTCCGAAGACGTCTCCGTGGTCATGCGGCTGGCATGATTAAATGCCGAAGATGCACGGAACGCTGTTCCCTTCCCACCAAAGGTGGTTCCTGCTTTTCTACTCGCATTTTTCACGTGCTTTCGAACCGCTAGGTTGGCAGAAGCTGGGACAAGTAGCGGGAGCTCACTCCATTATGCGGCACTAGGGATTCGAACTGCCGAACTCCTGACCTTTCTGATCAACAAGCTCAGCGTCTTAGCCACTGAGCCACCGCGTCCCTTTTTTGTGAGATAATAATTGTTAGATCATAACTAAAACGTTTATTAGATGATATTTCTTACATATCCTGCTTGATCCCGCCTTGTGCTTTAGGGAAAATGTACAAAAGTTCCTTAATTCTGGGGATTTTGTAGTATCCTTCCCCTAGAGTGGGGTTGGAATGGGGATTTTGCAATATCCTTCTCGCAGAGTGGGGAGGGAATGGGGATTTTGCAGTATCCTTCCCCTGGAGTGGGGAAGGAATGGGGATTTTGCAGTATCCTTCCCCTGGAGTGGGGAGGGAATGGGGATTTTGCAGTATCCTTCCCCTGGAGTGAGGAAGGAATGGGGATTTTGCAGTATCCTTCCCCTGGAGTGGGGAGGGAATGGGGATTTTGCAGTATCCTTTCCCTGGAGTAAGGGAGGAATGGAGATTTTGCAGTATCCTTCCCCTGGAGTGGGGAGGGAATGGGGATTTTGCAGTATCCTTCCCCTGGAGAAGGGAGGGAATGGGGATTTTGCAGTATCCTTCCCCTGGAGTGGGGAGGGAATGGGGATTTTGCAGTATCCTTCCCCTGGAGTGGGGAAGGAATGGGGATTTTGCAGTATCCTTCCCCTGGAGTGGGGAGGGAATGGGGATTTTGCAGTGTCCTTCCCCAGGAGTAGAATGGG